CTCAGCGAGCCAGGGCTCCTGCCTGACGGGCCTCCGTGGGCACGGGGCATGCGTTCTCTCACAGTACTCCAGGGGCTGGGGGCGCACAGAAAGGCAGCCCCTCGGGAGCCGTGCTTCCACCAATTTATTTCTTTTGTAAACATATTTTTATTTGTATATGGTTACAAAAGACAAAACAAACGCTTTAGAATTTGTTGCAGGTGGAAGCATCCAACGGTGGTCTGGGGGTCCTTGCTGAACACCTAGTGATGCAAACCCCCAGTTCACTGTTAAATAGTATGGGTGTGGCCACGCGTTGGTGTCTGCAGCAGTGGGGCTTTCGGGTGCGATGGGAATCTGGGGGAGGTGTGGAGGTGCCCTAAGGTCTTGGCAGAGGTCAGAATCCTAGAATCCGGGAGAGCAGTGCCCAGGGGCCAGACAGGCAGCCCATGTTCAGTGAATGAATGAGTGAGCGAACGAGCTATGAGCAGATGTCCCAGCAGGGGGTCACTGTCCTCAGAAGTGTCCGCAGTGGGAACAGAGAAACTGACCACTTTAGGAATCTGGAGACATCTCCAAGCAATTCCTCAACCACCACGATGTTCAGATTTTCTTAAATGTGTGAATTTAAAAGAAAATCATTATATATGTTTATTGTAGAAGGTTTGGAAAATACAAACCAGAGTAATGAAGAAAATTGAAAATACTTATAACGCCGCCACACAGAAGAAACATGGCCTGTTTCGATTATTTACATGTATTGTTTTCCCGCTCAGTGACTTTTGATTGTAAAAATTGAGCTGCGAGCAGCCGTCCACACATTTTCATGCCATGTAGGTTCCACTGGGTGGGCCTCATGGATGTTAAAAACAGTGTCCAGTTTGACAGCTAGACCAGGAATCTCGATATTTTGCTTACGATGCCCAATTATCAGCCAGAGCGGCCTTTCCGAATGTTTGGTAACAGCTGCATTTCTTCTTTTGTGAATTATCTGTTCACAAGATCCTTTTCTATGGGGTATTTGCCTTTTTGTTATTATTTCTAAAATCTCCTTGGACACAAAGATTACCATTCACCTTCTGCATGAGACATACTAAATATTTTCATCTATTCAATTTTTTAGGTACAAAATTTGTTTTTAGAGCTTGTCTTCTTTTTATTTATTTAATTTATTCAAGCGTAGTTGATTTACCATGTTTCAGGTATACAGCAAAATGATTCAGTTTCCTATGTATATATTCTTTTTCAGTTTCTTTTCCATTATAGGTTATTACAGATATCGAATAGAGTTCCCTGTGCTATACAGTAGGTCCTTGTTTATCTGTTTTATACAGAATAGTGTGTATCTGTTCATCCCAAACTCCTAATTTATCCCTCCCCCCTTTCCCCTTTTAAACCATATGTTTGTTTTCTATGTCTGTGAGTCTGTTTCTGTTTTGTAAATTAGTTCATTTGTATCCATTTTTAGATTCCACATATAAGTGATATCATATGCTGTTTGGCTTTCTTTGACTTACTTCACTTCGTGTGATAATTTCTAGGTCCATCCATGTTGCTGCAAATGGCATTATTTCATTCTTTTTATGGCTGAGTAGTATTCCGTTGCATATATGCACCACGTCTTCCTTATGCATTCCTCTGTTGATGGACACTTAGGTTGCTTCCATGTCTTGGCTATCGTGAATATTGCTGCTAAGAACACTGGGGTGCATGTATCTTTTCGAATTAGAGTTTTCATCTTAGAGTCTATCTTCTTCTTTTGTTTGATATTTATTTATTTGGCTGTGCTGGGTCTTAGTTGCGGCATGCATGCGGGATCTAGTTCCCTGACCAGGGATCGAGCCCAGGCCCCCTCTACTGGGAGCGCAGAGTCTTAACCACTGGACCACGAGGGTGTCTGAGTCTATCCTCTTGGTATTTTCTCCCTTAGTTTTTATGCTGAGTGTCCTTACTCTGAGATACACATTCTTCTATTGCTTTTATCATTTCTATTTGCTAAACCTGGGTTCACGGGTCCCATGGTGTGAGGGGGCACTGCCACGGCGCGTGCCTTCCCGGGAACGTGCTCTGCCTGGTGCCTTTGAGTCTGGGGGCCGCTGCTCTCTTCCCTCCCCCCAGCCACCGGCCCGAGGGCCAGGGTCACACAGACTGTCCCCGAAGCTCTGGATGCATTTTACAGGCCAGTGCACAGCTCACTGCTGCCTTGCCTCTTCCCTTCCTAAGCTCCCTGGCGACCGCCATACATGCTCTCTTCCAGATGACCCATTTTATTGCTTTTTCCAAAGAAACGATTTTCGTCGTATTTATCAATTTTAGCTTTTTTGTTTGTTTTCGGATTCATCGACTTTTTCTGCTGTCTGTGTATTTCCCACCTCCCTTCCCTTATTTCCTGAGCTTTGTGGCTCTTCCTCTCACGTCTGAACTTTCCATCCTGCACGTGTATCATCATTCCCTTCCGTCAGGCAGAAAAGCATTTAGGGCTTCGGGCTGCTTTCTCCATCGGGGACCCGTTGAACAGAGGAAGTTGCGCTGTCTCTTTTCTGAAGTGTCTGTACGTGTAAATTTGATTTGCTCTTGGACTTTAGGGATATTGAGCAGAGTGTTTTAAAGGTTCTAATTAACATGTGTGTGTTGGGGGGGCACCTCATTTTATTCCATTTGGTCAGAAACTGCGGCCCTAAAAATTTCTGCCATCAGCCTTCACGGGTGGTGAACGGAGCAGTGACGAACACGTGCAGTGGATTCTCCTGGGGCCGAGAATGTGTGGGTTCAGAGAACACGTGGGTGGCATCTTCCTCAACCCCCTCTGCCCTCGTCTTCCGATCTGTCTGGAAACTCCGTGACCTGGGGCGGGGATGGGGGTGGGGGGAGGGGTTCCAGCCCCCACTGGAATCCGCTTCTGTCCAATTCTTTTTTGTCTTTACAGAAAACAGAAACGACCACATCCTAACTTTGTCTTTTGGTTTTAAAAGGTTGATGCCTATTTTAGATCCATTGTCAACACTGGCCTTTTTCTACATGAAGCAGCCTGGCACCCTCAGCTCCTGGGATGCATACCGCACCCCTGCCTTCCCCTCTTGTAACCTTTTCCTGACAGCATCTCTGTTCCTGTCACTTGCTGGCGTGCCTCTTGGAAACCAGCACCAGGTGGTTTATGGTCTGACCTTGAACGGTCAAGGGCAGGCTCTGACGCAAAGTCCTGACGCTCGGTGAGTCCTGGGGCCCCGCAGGGCCTTGTCTGAGGGTCTGCACTTCGGCAAAGCTTTCGTCTTGGACAGCAAGCCTCATCTGACAGCAGCGTACCCTGCCTCGGACGTGGGGCCTCCCTCTGCCTCTTCAACTTTTCTTTCTTTTTTGATGTTTCCTCTTTCTCTTCTGTCTTTTACCAAATAGGGACTGTGGGCTTTTGTGGAGTGCGTGGGATTTGGAAGGAATATATCCTATTTTTCTTCTGGTGTTCCCTGACGGACCCCGACGCTCAGAGCTTTATTCATCGTGAAGGGTGATCCTCAGTGTGCCCGGGGTCCGCGGGGATGCGCCACTTCCTGCAGTCGCACTCGGTCGCGCCAGCAGCCCCCTGCCGGGCAGGGTCAGGCTCAAGGGTAGCTCTGACGGAATGTCCTCACAGGCCCGTGGGGCCTTGGGTTTCTCAAGCCACCTCGACTTGGGGTTTTGCACCTTGAGTCCTGGGGCGGGGCTGCCATTAGATCTGGGGAGAGTGCAGCCTCGGGGCCGTCGGGGTGGCAGGGAGGGTGCTGCAGGTCTGGGCTCGGGTGGCCCAGCTGGAGCCCGCGCCCTCCTCCCTGCTATCGGATCAGCTGTCCCAGCTGAGCCGGGGCCTCACATTCACGAGGGCGGCCCGAGCCTGCCCTCCCCCAGAGCGGGACCAGGCCCGCAAGCCCTTCCAGGCACGCAGAGGGAGCCGAGGCAGAGTATGCCGCTGGGGCAGCCGGGGACCCGGGCACGGGCACTGCCCTGCGCCGTCCAGGGGGCCGGGCCCCAGCACGACACCCAGAGGAGGCCTCGGTCTGTGAGGCCCCGCCATGATGGTTGCGGCATCGGGGCCTCTGATGGCCAGTCCTGGCCGCCGGGCATGTCCGCTGGCACCCCTGCCCGGGGCCGAGAGGAGGGCTGGCTGCAGGCTCCGCGCTCCGAGCTCCCAGAGCCACTGCGTGTGCAGGCGTCCTGCCCCCGAGGGGCCGTGGGCGCTGGGGCTGGGGCGGAGCCGGGCGCGGCGGGAGTCCCAGTGCTTAAGGGGGAAGAGAGAGCGGCGACACCCCTCCCATGGCCTGTGGGTCTTCTTGCCGTAACCAAGGTGCGCTCCCCACCGCGTGGGAGGATGCTCCAGCTGTGAGCGGCACCGGGTCCGCATCCTGCCGCTGCCGGGGCCCCGGTTTCCGCAGGCGAGGGTCGGGGTTTGCCTGTGGTTGCTGTGACTGTTTGGGGTCCGTGGCCACAGGAAAGGGCATCGAGCTGCTTTTGGAGGGCCTTCCCCACCCCTGGCGGGACTGGCCCCCCCGCCGGATACGTGCACAGCTGGGGCGCCTGGGGCGGGGGCTCCCCGACCTCTACTGGGAGCAGCCTCTGCCTCCGAAGTGGGGTGCTATCTTGAGGCCGACTGGGCCCGGCGGCACCCGGGTCAGCCGGGGGGTCAGTGAGCACGCGCGGGCCTCGCGGGGCGTCCGGCTGCGGAATATGCTAGGGACCCAGAGGGCTCTGGGGCAACACGGGGCTTTCGCAAGTGGGTGGGCGTGGAGTAAACTGAAAGCACCTTCCCAGCTCCCGCTCTGTGACCCCGGAAGCCAGAGCAGGGCGTAAGTTCTGCTTTTGACCGGAACAGGAAAGAAGAGGGAAGGGGTCTGTTCTGTTATGACACTTCTAGCTCCTGGTTACAAGCTTGGTGGGGACCGGGGTGCGGGGTCACCCCCAAAAGACCGGAGAGTGGGGCTGGGCGGGACCTCTAAGCACCGGGTCCCCCCATGGGACCCCCTGGGACCCTCCTCCACCCCAGAGCCGCTGGTACACATGCAGGGGTTATGGGAGAGCAGAGGCGAGGGCAGGACCCACCTCCAGGTGCACCCAGAGCCCACAGGCCACGGCAGAGGCCACCATGGCAGGGGCCACATGGTCTTCGCCACAAGTGGACCTTGGGTGGGAGCATCTGCCGGCCCAGCACCGAGCAGTGTGCTGGGGAGGGGAGCTGGCGTTTGCAGGTATTCAGGGTGAGCCTGTTGATCCTGGTTGCGGATAACGCCCCCCCCCTTCCTGCCTGCTGCCTCTGGTTTGCTGGCAGCTCAGCACCCTCTCTGCTCTCTTGGCGTCAGATTAAAAGGCAGCAGCCCTACAGGTTCTCACACGTGGGGGCTCGCGGGCCCACGAAGCGCTGCCACCCCTCCCGGGAGCTGGCCTGGAGGATGTTTGCTGCTTTGGGCCCAGCCTGGGTCCCTTGGGGCACTTCCGGGGGAGGGTGCTGCTTCCACCTCCAAGACCGGAGCTCCAGCGCCAGGCCTCCAGCCCGCCCCCACGCTCTTGCCTCTGGGAGCATCAGGGCCAGCCGGTGGTGGCCCAACACCCTGTCCACACCTTACCCCAGGCCCAGCAGGTGTGGACGAAGAAGAGCTCAGTAACGGTCACCTAGAGCTCGTGGCCTCGGGCACAGCAGGTGATGGCTCTGCGGGCCCTTCTGTTGTCAAACAGCCCAAGTTCGAGTGCCTGACGCACAGTGAGGCCAAACAAACCGAAAGAGCGGAGTTTGGAGCAGAGAAAGGTTTATTGCAGGGCCGAGCAAGGAGCCGGGTAGCTCAGGCCCAGGAAACCCCGAGCTCCCCAAAGGGTTTCGGCAAAGCGTTTGTAAAGGCCAGGTGAGGGAGGGGGGTCGCAGGGTATGCGATCAGCTCGTGCACAGTTCTTTGATTGGCCGATGGTGAGGTAACAAGGCAGGGTCACAGAGGTTCACCTTATCAATCCTTAGGCTCCAGTAGGTCTGGGGGCTACACGTTCATGGTCATTGTGCAATTAACTTCTCCCATTTGGTAGGGGTTTAGCATCTGTGAAACAGCAGAGGATGTGCATCAGGTACCGTTTGTTCGTTATCTGGGTACTTCCAGGAGGAACTAAAGATTCTGTGACCGCCGTATGGCTGATTTACTGTTTAAATTCTTACCAGTTCTCCTGGCCCAACTGAAAGTGTTCACATCCTTTCAATCGTTAATTCTCCAGCCAGGCTTTTGTGAGTCAGGGGAGGCCTGGGAGACTAAGCTTTTCTACAGACAAGAGGCAGGCAGAGGATGTGGGGGGAGGGGTCTGTCCCAGGCAGGCCCCAGATGTCCTGCCCGATTACACATCCTCGCCCAGCGGGCAGCTGGCACAGTCCTGGCGCCGGTAGGTGCTCAGAGTTGGCTTCTCTTCCAAGTCCTGGTTCACCCTCCTCCCAGGAGGCCTGGGCCGGCCAAGCCTCTGCTCCAAGCTCAGCTCAAGTCACTGAGGACTCGGGGCCACGAAGGCCACGCGGGGCCCTGACCCGGAGCGCGGCACCTTGGGCGCGCGTGTGTGTGCATACGCGTGGTGAGTGTGTATGTGTGAGCTTGTGTGCGTATGTCACTGTGAGGAGACCCACTCCCTGCTGGTCCTCGGGGGCTGGGGGCTCAGCTGCGTGGAGTGCACGCAGCCCCACTCAGCCGTCCTCTCCCGCTGGCCGGCACAGCCCCATTGAGGGGGATCGGGGAGACTGACCCGTTCTGGCTACGCCCCAGCGCTGAGCACCCCTCGGCAGCAGGGACGGCCCGCCCAGCACTGCGTCTCTAGGCCCAGGGTCTGGGGTCCCAGGCCCAGTCACCGCCCCCTCCCCTCCACAGGACATGCTGCGCCAGCGCCCCCAGCTGCTGCTCCTGGGGAGCCTGCTCGCCCTCCGGTCTGGTGAGTCCCGCGGGGATAGCTCCTCATGGGAGGAATGGGACCCGCCCTGGCACCCTCCTGCCCCCAAGTCCCCTGGTGGAGGCTCAGGAAGGGCCCTGCTCTGCCGCCCTCCTCCATTCCCCCGCCCACCGTGGGGCCCACCCTCCTGGAGGCCGCTTCCCCTGGGGCCCCGGTCTCCTCCCTCCCTCCTGGTCCTCTCCACCACCCCGTTCACACCCCAGTCCCTGGAGGGCCTGCTGTCTCTGTGGGGGTCGGCCAGTGCCTGCCACAGGCTACGCCCCCCAGCCTGTCTCCTCTCCCCTAGTCCTGTCCCAGGAGTGCACCAAGTACAGAGTCAGCACCTGCCGGGACTGCGTCGAGTCAGGGCCTGGCTGCGCCTGGTGCCAGAAGCTGGTAAGGGCCTCACTGAGCGCTGTCCGCCGCCCCGAGGGGCCTCGCGCCTGGCCTGCCCTCCCCCCTTCCCTCCTCCCGGGCTGGACCTTCTTCTCTGCCTCTGGAACTGCTGCCTCCAGGAGTGTCAGCACTCTGCTTTCTAGTGGAGCAGAAGCAGCCCAGGGACACGGTGCCGTCAGAGACAGACAGGCAGACTCAGCATGTCCCCAGGCAGCCTGGCGGAGGCAGACCGGAGAGTGAAACCGCTGGGTCTGGACAGGTGCCGCCCGAGCCCCAGAGGCAGGAGCCCTGGCCAGAGACAAGGCAGAGATGCTTGCAGCAGGAAGGCAGCAGCTGCCGCCCGCCCATGTGCCCCGCTGTCCGCTCCCAGAACACGGAGCACTGGGGAAGTTCCCTGCTGGAAACCTGACTCTCTGCTGTCCTTAGTTACTTCATATTTAACTTGTGAGACCCTCTGGGAAGAAAGGCAAAGGCCAGGACGTGGGGTAGCTCCACCTCCTCCTGGGGAGGACCCCTTCCCTAGGCACCCCCAGATGCTGACCACGCCCTCCTCATGGGGGTCCCTGAGGTTCTGACACCACAGGTCTGTTTGGAAACACACACATGCACTCATATTTTTTTTTTCTCAGTTGTTTGAGGGTAGGTTGCAGACACAAACCCCTTTGTCCCTTAATATTTCCAGGGACTTTGCCGAGAACAAGGTACTCACTTACAAAACCACAATGCATTTATCAAAGATTGGAAATTTAACCTGGTACTTTACTCTGATCAAATTTACACACCTTGTGCAAATTTTTCCAATTGTTCCAATAATGTCTTTGATATCATCCCCCCCTCCCACCCTACTCCACACCCACCCCACTGGTCAATATTATAATCCAGGACCACACATTGCATCCAAATGTCTCTTTATCTCCTGGAATCTGGAACATTCGTCAGCTTTCTTCGTCTTTCACATCCTTGCCATTTCTGAGGAGTTCACGGCAGTTTTGCAGAATGCCCCTCCTACGGGTTTGTCTGGCCTGCCTCTGATTCAGCCCAGGGTGTGCGTTTTTGGCAGGAACCCCGTGCAGGGCTCCTGTTGTCACTCCGTCCTGATACTGGGGATGCAGCCTGGACCACTCAGCTGAGGTGGCGTCTGCCAGGCTCTCCACCATGACGTCACTATTTCCCTTTTGCAATAGTAAGTAATTTGTGGGGAGATACTCCGAGGCCAGGAAATACTCTGCTTCCCATCAGGCTTACACCCACTAACCTGAGCATCTGTTGGTGTTGGCTGCCTGAATCAGTTCTCACTGGGACGGTTGCAAAATGGTGACATTCCTGTTCATTACTCCTTCTAATGGCTTCTAATGTAAGGAGGAATTTTTCCTTCCCCCAACCTCCCTCTCTCTGTCTCTCTCATCGGTGTAAATCCGTAGATGTTTATTTTATTCAGTAGCTTATAAGCTATCACTTTCATTTTGCCATTTTGAAGCTCGAAGTGCTCCCCGTTTAGACTTTGGGAGCCCCCAGGCTGGCCCTGTGTCCTGTTAGCACGCCCCAGCATCACTTCCTGAGCTCTCTTACTCTCTGGGATCGGCAGAGCTCCAGGCCCGTCTGCACTTTCCTCGCCCCCACTAGGGACTCAGACATTTCTCTGAGGGTTCCTGGTTCCCCTTCATGAGAAGCCAGCCTCCCAGCATCCGCAATACACTTCCCCATTTTCTTAATCCTACGATTCACAGAAAGTGGTTACAGAGTTGCTACCTGCAGCACTGCAGGGGGGAAATCGGGTGTGATCTGTGTTGTCTCCTCTTGTTGGGGTGCGGTCATAGTGCCGGCTTAAAAAGTCCGTCCTCAGGGTGAATTCCTCCCTTCCCTTTCCTGAGTTTATCATAGCATTTGAAATGCAGTCGGGTTCAATGGTTTCCCGTGGATTCCATTTTAGGGGTTTCTTCCCTCTCCATTCCTGTTAATTTTCTTTCTGGAGTACTCAAAGCATTCATAGGGTTCCGAAAGCGAGGACAGTTCAGAGGCAGCTCAGGAAGCACCGCCCCTCTGCTGGCCCCGCCCCGGCGCTGGGCACGCCCCCTGCACCTGCCCGGTCTCCTGCCGGCGGTTGCTCTCTCGAGCCTTCTTTTGTCGGAGGAAGCCGAGAGCAGGACCCTCCGATTGCGGCCGCTTCTCTCTCCCTGCCGTGTCCACATCCAGGGGGCCTTCGTGGGGGGCACAGTGGTCACGAGGGAAGACCCAGGACCCCCACGCTCCCCTCCGGCCTGTTTCCTTCTGAGCTGCCTGGCCCAGAGCCCTGGCCTGTATTCCGGATCCGCGTGGTGCCTGGGGGATGACACGTGGGCCAAGAGGGGCGCTCGCGTCCCCTTGGGAGGGAACCACTCCCTCCTTCGTCCGGTGCTGCTGACGCTGCCCAAGGGCCTGAAAACCCTGGGCCAGGTGCTCCGTGGGCCGCGGAGAATCCCCGTGGCTCCACCTGGGGCTGGAGCCGTTGGTTCCTGAGTCGCCTCTGCCCGCTCGCGGGCTCTCCTGGGATGCGAAGCCTCGTGAACAGGTCCTCTGGAGGCCGCCCAGCCCCTGCCTCGTCCCGCTGCCACCGGGACTCCTGACCTGAATCCGGTGCAGATGAGGGGGTCAGCTTCGCACAGCATCCACAGTGTGGGCTCCCATCTTTTCTCTGCCCCTGACCCCTGACCCCTGGCTCCCCCAGAACTTCACGGGGCAAGGGGAGCCTGACTCCACTCGCTGTGACACGCGGGAGCAGCTGCTGTCAAAGGGCTGCGCGTCGGATGACATCATCGACCCCAGGAGCCACGCCACGACCCAGGAGGACCAGGTGGGGGGCCAGAAGCAGCTGTCCCCACAGAAAGTGACACTCTACCTGAGACCAGGTAGGCTTGGCCTCGGCTGGGGGTGAGCCAGCCCCTGATGGCCGCGTATCCCATGTGTCCAGGTCAGACAGCCAGGTGGGCTGGGCGAGGCCCTGGGACTGCTGGGAACCAGTCTGAGCTCTTCTCTCTGCCCCGGGGAGGGTGCCCCCAAGAACCCCGTCTGCGGCTGGTGCCTAGTCTCTCTCTTTTTTTTTTTTTTTTTGCGGTACGCGGGCCTCTCACTGTTGTGGCCTCTCCCGTTGCGGCGCACAGGCTCCGGACACGCAGGCTCAGCGGCCATGGCTCACCGGCCCAGCCGCTGTGCGGCATGTGGGATCTTCCCGGACCGGGGCACGAACCTGCGTCCCCTGCATCGGCAGGCGGACTCTCAACCACTGCGCCACCAGGGACCCCCCCCAGTTTCTCTTTTAACCCTGAGTTCTGTGTCCTTTTTACAAGGGAGAACAAACCACCTGGAAAGCACTCATTTGTCACACTCTCAGAAGGCCAGGTACTCTTGGCAAAGTAAAGGCTCTGACAAGTCCTGCAGCCAAGGAACCCCAGTAACCATTTAAATCAGGGCTGCCCACCTGACTTGACCACGGACCCAGGTTCAGGACATAGCTCCCTGTTAGCGCTCTGAGAAACGCCCTTCAGGAAGGTGGCGTGGTGGAGCAGCGGGGGGTGTGGCGGGCGGGCCTGGGCAGGGCTGGGGCGGCCACACGTGGGAGCTGGTGCTGGAAGGTGGGCCAGGCAGAGGGGACTTGGTTCGGAGCTCGAGTCCTCACGTCTTTGTCCAACACCAGCTGTGTGCTAGGCACCGTCCCGGGAGCTGGGGACACAGGCTATTCGTACTGACAGATAGACAAGTAATTACAGGTACACGTGGTGATTAAGACGGCGAAGCGCAGAAGCCAGCGGGATGTGGTTGAGGAAGGGGGGTATCCCCAGGATGGCCAGGGAGCCCTTGCTGGGACGGGACGGATTTGCCTGCTGGCTGGTGGTAGAGAAGGCCTTGCCGGGGAGATCGAGGGAGATCCAGGTGGATCTGAATGTCAACAATGCCAAATAAATAGCGAACACTTTTCAGTATCTCTGTGCCCAAATAGTCTTCTATTTGGGAATGTGCTCTTTATCTGAAATTCGAATCTGAGTAGGCACCCTGCATTTTACCTGCAGGCCTCAGAGAGTGGGGGTCATGAGGGTCCTGAGGCCTGCAGGGGGCACCAGTGCCCCCGAGCCCCGCTAGATGAGGTGGCCTTCACTCTCCCGCGATTCCCAAATCCCGCAGGTCAGGCGGCTGTGTTCAACGTGACCTTCCAGCGGGCCAAGGGCTACCCCATCGACCTGTACTACCTGATGGACCTCTCATACTCCATGCTGGACGACCTCATCAACGTCAAGAAGCTGGGGGGCGACCTGCTCCGGGCCCTCAACGAGATCACCGAGTCCGGCCGCATCGGTGAGCTGTCCGCTCCCTCCTCCCCTGAGCCCCGGCCAGCCTGCTGCCTGCACACCCCCCAGGCCCCCACCCTGGGCACCTCTGTGCCCCCACGTCCTGAGGGCAGGGCACCAGGGCTCCAGACCTAGTGTCCCTGGTGCAACCCCCCAAGGGCCACCTTGCTTCCTCCCCGCCCCCATCCCCACCCCCGCTGCCCTCTGGCATGAGGTGGGGAAGCCGGGGCTCACAGCCGCCCGACCCCTAGGCTTTGGGTCCTTCGTGGACAAGACGGTGCTCCCCTTCGTCAACACGCACCCCGAGAAGCTGCGGAACCCGTGCCCCAACAAGGAGAAGGAGTGCCAGGCCCCGTTCGCCTTTCGGCACGTGCTGAAACTCACCGACAACTCCAATCAGTTCCGGACGGAGGTCGGGAAGCAGCTGATCTCGGGAAACTTGGACGCCCCCGAGGGTGGGCTGGACGCCATGATGCAAGTCGCCGCGTGCCCGGTGAGGCCCCTGCCTGCCCTGCTTTCTCCAGACCCGGGGGCCTCCGTCACGACACCCACAGATTCCACTATTAGCAGCTTGTGACCCTGTGCAAACCTTCTGAAGCCTAAATACAAGGAAATGGTCCTGTTAAGGAAGACCCCTGAGCCACCCAACCCTGGCGGTTCCTGCGGTAGAATCACCCCGACTTCCAGCGCCCCTCGAGGAACAGAGGGCGTCCTGGCCAGGCCCCCCGACAGTCATGTGGCTGAAGTGTCGGGGCCGGCCGTCCCCTGCCCCCTGCTGACCCCTCACCACATGGTCCTGTCCCGCCGCTGTATTGTGACGTGTTGCAACACATCGACCCACGTTTAGCCGCGCAGCCCGCCCCCTTCACAGACTGGACCCCAGCCCTCCAGCCCCTCTGCTCCCTGGGAGCGCCGTCCTGCGTCGCAGACACGCATTTTCATTTCTGTGTGACGTCACGGGTCACGATGTGCGTGCGCCCTGGCTCTGTCACCTCCTCATCACGGTGGCCGTGGGCTCCTCCCTCTGTGTTTGCAGTGAGATAAACATTTCTAAGTCCTTTTTCTTCTTTGGGAGTGTCCCCTTAGGAAGTGGCCCCAGGTCCGAGCTGACTGGGCCACAGAGTATGCAAATGTAAACATGCATTCCTGTCCCTTCGGTGTCCCACGCATTCACCTGGGCATCTGGGAGCTTGTCGTCCCACAGACACTTGTCGGGCCCCCCTGGGCGCTGGGCCCTGTCTCTGGTCCTCCTGCCCCCCAGAAAACCCAGGAGTGGGGGGCACACAGCCCCGAGGCGAGCACGGCAAGCTCTGCCTTGGCCCCCGCCCCATCTGGGGAAGCTGAGGCAGGTCACCCTGCCCTCTCCTTGTCAGGAGGAGATCGGCTGGCGCAACGTCACCAGACTGCTGGTGTTTGCCACGGATGACGGCTTCCACTTTGCGGGAGACGGGAAGCTGGGCGCCATCCTCACTCCCAACGATGGCCGCTGCCACCTGGAGGACAACATGTATAAAAGCAGCAACGAATTCGTGAGTGTGGCGGTGTCTTGGGGGGCGGGGGGGCGGTAGGCTCACTGCCAGCCCGGGGTCCAGAGGGGTGGGGAGGGGCCCTCGCTCTGGGGGAAGCACTCGAACGGCACCAAGAGGTCAGAATTCTCTGGTCCAGGGCTGCTGTGAGACGATGCTCGGCACCCTGGAGTCGTAAAGCCCAGGCACTGCAGAGGACTTTAGAGATGTGACCCTTGGGGTCCTCCACCTGCAGCCTGCAGACTGGAGGTGGGTGTTGGTGGCAGCTCTCAGGGGCCCACCGACTGGGACAGGACGGATGTGACCTCTGAGGCTCCGGTGAGCCTCTGCCCGAAATCGCGCACGTCGTGAAGTTGTGAAAATGGGTGCCACTGTGCTGGGGGCAGCGTCTGAGATGCCGCCTCCCGGAGAAGGCAGAGGCGTCTCGCCAGCGCCCCACAGTGCGGACACCGCAAAACCCTGCTCACCACTCCTCCGCTTTGGATGTCTGGGAGCGGCTACTGGCCACTGGATTTCTTTTTTAGTGCATTGATCAGGAAGCACTTCTCAGCTTTTAATATTTTCTTGAGTGTATTTCAATATTGTCAGTTTCCCTTCTAATCCCATCATCTTACGCGTTTGCGAGCGTTTGCGAACATCATTGGGAACGGGCCCCATCACAGCAGGAGGCAGGCGGAGCCTCTGCGCCCTGGGCCGTCACTTCTGCCGACAGGAGCGGACAGGCAGCTTGGATGGCTTGTCCCCAGCCTTGGGAGCCATCTGACCGGGGGTGCCCTCTCTAGGACTACCCATCGGTGGGCCAGCTGGCACACAAGCTGGCAGAAAGCAATATCCAGCCCATCTTCGCTGTGACCAAGAGAATGGTGGCAACGTACGAGGTAAGCGGGCTTGAGCAATCCGGCAGGAAGAGGCGTCGCAACTGGATGGTGACCAAATCCAGGGTGACCACGGCCTGAGTTCTGCTTCCAGGCTGGGTGCGTGGGCTGTGGCCACGCAGCAGCCCCGAGTTTCGGGGAGTGAGCACTGCTGCTGAGGAGCTGAGGCCGCATGACACTGACAAGTCCTTGCACTTCAGTAATCGTGGTTTTGCCTCAACGAAACCCTTTGGGTCTGCACACCCCGTTTTTCACGTCACGGAAAGTTCCTTGTTTTGTGTCCACATACGTTTGCAGGTCAGCACTGTTCACACAGTGTAAGGTGTACGCAGGAGGGCTCTGGAACCCCCAGCGCACGGCTCAGTGTCGCGAGGAAAACACCCCCATAACCAGCAGGCGCCCGGGCCCCCCAGCAGCTGTGACAGCACTTCCTTCACGGCTCAGGAGACCTGGGTCTGTCCCGACTTTTCTGAATTGCTGTTCATACTAAATTTTTCTGTGGCGTGGAATTCTCGTGGGGAAGTTTCTTTGTCGTAGAGCGTTTCTCATCCCTCCTCCTTCTCCCAGTCACTGTGGGGCTGTTTTAGTTGCTGTGCTCTCATCTGCCGGGCTCAGCGTGGTGGCCTCTGGCTGCGATGGGCTGGGAGCGCCTCCCAGCCCCTGTCCTTCCCTAAGTCCCGGTCCCCTTCCTGCTGAGGCCTGTGGCCTGCTGTGCCTGTGTGGGGCGTTTGCCAGTGGGGCCAGCTGCGCCTGCCATCAGCGTTCCCAGGGGATGCCGAGGGAGGAGGGGCGGGTGTCCGGAAGACCCCCCGGGGGCTGGCAGTGGGTGTTGGCCAAGCCACAAGGACAGCAAGGCTGGTGGCCGGGTGCCGCTGAGAGGCCACCCACCCACATGAGCTTCCCGAGCGCTGGCAAGTCAGGGCCTCGCAGCTGCCGTGTCCCTGACCGTGTTCCGGGACGTGACAGTCTCCTCCTCGCCAGGTGGTAGCAGGTCCCAGTGATTTGCTATTAGGGGCAGGGATCGTGTCCCAGAAGGGAGTGTGGTGATGGGGTAGAAGCTGGAGACGGGAGACTCGGACCCCAGGCCCTGCTCCCCAACAGCAAGGACAAGGCCCCGGGCAGGTCCCAGGCCTTTCTGAGCCTTAGCTTCCTGACCCCACTCCCGGGGCTCCTAGCGAGGGGGGGTCAAGGAGGCCCGAGTCTGTATGGGCAGCTTACGCTGGACCCTCCTCAGTATGTGTTTCTGCACCGAATGGAGAGCAGGTGGCCGGGGGGGTCCCGAGGCTGAGGAGGAGAGGAGAGGGTGGCGGAGGCCGGAGGTGGGGTGGCCAGGCTGTGTGTCCTTGTGAGCTTTGTGGAGGAGCCTGGACTCCATTCTGGGGCGTCACAGCAGGGCTTTGTGGCAGGACGTGACCCACCCTTGGTTCTGCAAGACAAAGTGATGGTGCAATTTCCCGTGAAAGATGGGCTAAACTAAGGGCGGCAGGAACACAGATGTTCCCTGGAGGCTGCCCCAGGCTTGTCTGCATGACCTCGGGCTGCGGCCTGCCCACCCCAGAGGTGCCGCTGGACCAGCCGGCCCCGCCTGCCAGACCCAATTGCCACAATGTTGTTTAACACACAGCCATCGTGAAAGTTAGATTAGGTCAGCTCACACGCTCAGAACACATCGCTTGCTGGTTTTGTGCCACATTTCACGATTACCTGTGCCCTTGGGTTGTTTGTGCCTGTCACATCTGTGTGATGGGGTGGCATCTTTTTTTTTTTAATAGACGTATTTATTTATTTATTTTATTTGGCTGTGTCAGATCTTGAGGCACGTGGGATCTTTCGTTGCAGCGTGGGCTCTCTAGTTGTGGCGCACGGGCTTAGTTGCCCCTTGGCGTGTGGGATCTTAGTTCCCCGACCAGGGAGTGAACCCGTGTGCCTTGCATTGGAAGGCGGATTCTTAACCACTGGACCGCCAGGGAAGTCCCTGGGGTGGCATCTCACCATGGCGAGGCACACCCTCCGCCTTCAGTGCTGGGAAATCAGCAAGGGTGGAGTATTTCTACTGAGGAAATCGGCAAACGCTGCAATTCAGGGTGCGCTTCCTGAGAGCCAGTGGTTAAACGTTTGCCTGCACAACAGTGGACCACGTGCTGTGTTACCTGAATACAGTAAGAAATCGGGGGCAGGGTTGTCTGAGCCAGCTCGCAAGCAGGAAGGAAACCCTCTGGGGTGTTACTACAAAACTGGGTGGATACTGAGGTGTCCTGGTACCAGGGTTCTGGCCACGCCCACCTGTCTTCTTCCCTGACAGAAGCTCACGGAGATCATCCCCAAGTCTGCAGTCGGGGAGCTGTCAGACGACTCCAGCAACGTAGTCCAGCTTATTAAGAACGCCTACAACGTAAGTGCCCCCCGGGTAGTCGGCCAAGACGCTGCCCCGCTGCAGGCCAGCAGGAGGAAGGTCTGGGGAGGAGAGCCCCTGCGTTCTGTGGGCCATCCTCGGGCACTTCCCCAGGGCAGCTGTCCTCCTCGTTGACGGTGTGGTAGGTGCCACCCCAGGCCCTCCGTGCCTCCCCTGGGACACAGGCATCAGGCCCTCTTCCAGCCAAAGGGTCTGCTGGCCTTGCGAGCACAGCTCGCTGGGAGCACCCAGTAAGCACTGATGACACTGCATTGAGTCAGAGCCCCACTGAGGCAGCTCCGTTTGCTGCTCGTACCCTCCTGGAGCCCTAGCCACCCCCACCCCGAGCAGGCCCTCCCACACTCCAGATGCTGCCCATGGGGGGGCTCTGTCTTTGCACCGACGATGCCACCTTCAGTGAGTGGCTCATTCACCTCTCTGTCTCTCTCTATCTCTGTTTCTCTGTCTCTCTTCCTGTCTGACGGTCTGTCTCGCTCTCTCTCATTCACTTAGACAGTTTTTCCAGCTCCCACCCTGTGCCACGCACTGGGGTTTCAGTGGTGGGTGGACGGTCAAGCTCCCGTTCTTGCAGGGCTGTGACGTGTCTCCACGTCTGTCCCTTCCACTGGCCTGTCTCGGGGGCCGTGGCATGGGGTGCAGGACCCGGCACCCGTGGAGCTCTCAGTGGACACACAGGTGGAGGGAGGGGGATGAGAGGCGTGCCGGCCATCGGCTGGGAAGGGGCGGGAAGGGCCGGGGACAGCGGGATGAGCCTGAGCACGGTGCTCTTTGCCCACAGAAACTGTCCTCCAGAGTCTTTCTGGATCACAACACCCTCCCTGACACCCTGAAAGTCACCTACGACTCCTTCTGCAGTAACGGGGTATCGAAGGTGGACCAGCCCAGAGGGGACTGCGACGGCGTCCAGATCAACGTGCCGGTGAGGCTCCCTCCCGGCCTCTGGAAGGGGCTCCCCCAGGGACAGCGAGGGAGGGTGCACCCCGGCACACGGCTTCACAGGGACCAGCAAGAGGCGGGGTCCAGTCCACCGCGGGTGCAGTTCCTTCCCTTGAAAATCCACACACACTGTTCGCGGCCCGGTGTACACCGGCCGCCGCGAGGACGGCAGCGCCCCCTGGGGGCAGATGCCGGGTACAGCGCCAGCCGCCTAAGAAGGGCGTTCCTTCTACACGGGGCATCTGCTTTGCTTTGATTTTCTTGATTTTTGTGTTTTTGTTTTTTAACAAACACATTGAAGCAGGGGCCACACAAATGATTATAAACAGGCACTGAGTTATGTCCCTGATATTTTTAATTTGTCGTGACCAGAACAATTAAACTTTTCCTTTCTCCAGCTGTGAATTAATATTCAGCAAAATACTTGCTTTTATTTCTAAACGACATCGGAATTCTTTCAACTATGTGACTTACTAAATGTGTGGGACTTTTTAGTGAAATGTGTCCCCCTCATACGGGGTGATCCAGACAGGAATTTATTCAATCTTGTGACTGATTGCTTACTTCCCTGATGTTTCTGCTCTGTCTTCACATACGGGTTGGAGATTCACTCACGTTGATTTGCAGTGAGGCTTGCCGTGGCCGAGCTGGTGCCCCCTGAAGCTCAGTGCTGGCTGAGCAGCAGTGCTGTGTGAGTGGCGGGGACTTTGCCCTGCCCGCTCGGTTCCCCTTGGGCTTTCGGGGTCAGAATACAACCCCACATGCAGAACCTAGGACTTCCTGTGCGATTTTGGCATCTTAGCCTCCAGGCTTCGGGACAAAATACATGGAGAAAATATACATCATTTACAGAGTCATTCTAAAATTTTTTTAAAGGGATGTGAGATTAAAAGTATTCTAGGGCTTCCCTGGTGGCATAGTGGTTGAGAGTCCGCCTGCCGATGCAGGCGACACGGGTTCGTGCCCCGGTCCGGGAAGATCCCACATGCCGCGGAGCAGCTGGGCCCGTGAGCCATGGCCGCTGGACCTGGGTGTCCGGAGCCTGTGCTCTCTGCAACGGGAGAGGCCACAACAGTGAGAGGCCCGTGTACCGCAGAAAAAAAAAAGTATTCTAAAGACATCCCTGCTCAAGTCCAGGCCACCAGAGGATGGCGGGGGGGAGCTGCAGGAGGGCTGGGGGGCATGTTCCAGCATCTCTGACTCTGAGTTTCCAACTTGCATCCTCTCTTCCGTCATCTCCCCTCCCAAGTCCTGGAATCACCTGGAGTGTCCATGTCCTTCCCTCCCCCCACCGACATGCACTCCCCTGGGGGCCCAGCAGAGGCGGTCCCCTCCATGCTTGGAAGCCCAGGACGCTGATCCTCACCCTGCTAGGCCGTGCCCTTGTCCACGCTGCCCAGGGAGGAGGTGGGAGCAGGGTTGTGTGCCCGGGGTCCAATGTTCACCTGAGCCCTGCTTTCCCACTACAGATCACCTTCCAGGTGAAGGTCACAGCCACAGAGTGCATCCAGGAGCAGTCATTCGTCATCCGGGCGCTGGGCTTCACGGACACGGTGACTGTGCGGGTCCTCCCCCAGTGCAAGTGCCGGTGCCGGGACGCGAGCCGGGACCACAACCTCTGCGGCGGCAGGGGCTCCATGGAGTGCGGAGTCTGCAGGTGCGGCCGCGGCCCCGCCTCCCGCGCAGGCGCGCCGCGGCAGAGCCCGCGCGGGAGGGCCCTGACCCCACATCTCCCATGCAGGTGCGACGCCGGCTACATAGGGAAGAACTGCGAGTGCCAGACGCAGGGCCGGAGCAGCCAGGAGCTGGAGGGAAGCTGCCGGAAGGACAACGGCTCCATCATCTGCTCGGGGCTGGGGGACTGCATCTGCGGGCAGTGCGTGTGCCACACAAGCGATGTGCCCAACAAGAAGATCTACGGCCAGTTCTGCGAGTGTGACAACGTCAACTGCGAGCGCTACGACGGCCAAGTCTGCGGGGGCGAGAGTGAGCGCGGGGAACAGACCAACCGGCGGAGCCTCAGCCGCCCCTGGGGCGGTTGCGGGGGGCGGCTCGGGCTGGGGCTCGGGCGGGGCTGAGTCTGCGGGGGCCCCTGTCTTCCAGAGCGAGGGCTCTGCTTCTGTGGCACCTGCAGGTGCCACAACGGCCACGAGGGCTCAGCGTGCCAGTGCCTCAAGTCTACAAAGGGCTGCCTCAACCTGGATGGCGTCGAGTGCAGCGGCCGCGGCCGGTGCCGCTGCAACGTGTGCCAGTGCGACCCCGGCTACCAGCCGCCCCTGTGCCTCGAGTGTCCGGGCTGCCCCGCGCCCTGCGCCCGCTACGCGTGAGTATCCCGCTGCCCCGCCCGCCTCGCGCCTCCGCGGCCCGGGAAAACCGCCGTCTGGCCGGACCCGGGGCGCAGGGCGCTGAGGACGGCCCCGCAGCTCCGGGTGGCCCGGGCCCCGCGCCCCCGCCCCTCCTGCCCGCGGTCACGCTGCGCCTCGCCCGCAGCAACTGCGCCGAGTGTCTGAAGTTCGACCAGGGCCCCTTCGCCAAGAACTGCAGCGCAGCGTGCGGGGAGACGAAGCTGCTGCCCAGGCCACTGCCCGGCCGCACGTGCAAGGAGCGCGACTCCGAGGGCTGCTGGATGACCTACACCCTGCTGCAGCGCGAGGGGCGGGACAGATACGACGTGCACGTGAACGACACGCGCGGTGAGCCCGGATGGGTGGGGTCAGGACCGGGTCCCCGCACCGCTCAGCCCGCCCGCCGTGCGCCCTGCTCCGGGGCGGCCGGCTGTCCCGCAGGGGCGCTTCCCGGAGCGCTGGCGCTGAGCGCGGCCTGGAGCGCAAGCCCCGAGAGCCGGCCCAGGGGACCACTGGGGCCGCCGGACCCACATCCGGCCCTGGCCCTGGAGGGGCCCGCGGAGCCGGAGCCGGCTTCCCCAGGGGCCGCCGCCCGGCTCGCCAGGGTCCCAGAGGCTGACTCTGTCTTCATAGGTTCCCGGGACACGGGGTGGGGACACATGAACTGGTTCCCAGGGGTAAAGACGCTGGCGGGGCGTGTCTCAGAGGTCAGAAGGTCTCTCTGAAGAGGACGCTTGCAGCTGAGACCAGGGCATGAGAGGGTCAGAGGTGCTGGGCTGGGCTCTTACTGGGCCCCTGTGAGGCCGGGGGCGGGGGCGGGGTGGGAGGGGTTGGGCTTATGTCTCTTCCCAGACACACCGGAGGGCCAGCCGGCTTTCAGAGGAGTGCGCTGTGCTCTCACAGGCCGGGCGCAGACCTGGGAAGGGCCACTGCCCAGTCCGGGCACTGAGCAGGGCGGGGTTGGGGTCCTGGGGGCGGCGTGGACAGAGCCTGCCCTTGGATGGAACTCTGGGCGGGATCAGGAGGAAGGGCAACAAGTAGGGTCGGAGGGTAGGTCAGTGTTGAGGAGGTAGGTTGAGTGGACAATGGCAAAGCGTGTGTGGGACGCGGGGACTTAGAGTAACACACCCACGAGGGGATGGGCTTGAGGGTTACAGCAGCAGCACGGGGAGCCGTGTGGACACACCAGCTCTCGGTACCCCCGCCCCTTTACTGCTCAGAGAGGCTGCGGGGGTGGGGCACAGGCCTCGAGGCCGGCCTCTGGGGTGAGCGCAGCAGACGTGGGACAGCAGCCCACCCCGGGGACCTTACAGGACTGAGACCTGCTCCCAGCTCCCCTCCCCACGACAGGACCCCCAGGAAGGCAGATAGAGCCCAAGCCCTTTGTCTGTTACCAGGGCGGCAGAGCCCAGCCTGCTGGTGCAGACAGCTGTCCCCGGGTGTTTTAACAGGCACGTGTGGGGTCAGGTCTGGCTTTGTGCTGGCTAAGTTGTTCCACTTCTGTGAGGGAGGGAGGTTCCCTGGAGAGGCCAGGATGGTGGGGGGGGAGTGCCAGCGAACCCCAGTGCCCACGAGCTGGGCAGACGGGCTCACGCTGAGCATCGTGCCTTGATCAGGCGCCGCGCAGGCGTGCTGCAGTCCATAGCCTCCCCTCCCCCAAGCTCAGGGGGAGGCTGGGTGCAGCCCCTCAGGCACTGGGACCCCACCCCCCTCATTCCCAAGGCTGCTGCCATTGGTTCCCCTGGGAATGCCTTTACGAGGAGAGTGCCCACCCCTAAACTGTGATCCAACGTGGGTTAGGCTAGGTTCCAGCGATTGGGTCATTGGCTGTCCAGGTGGGAGGCCAGGGTCTGGCCTTGGTTACTTACTGGCCCCCTCGGCCCCCTTTCCTTCTCCATGAACGAAGGGCCTCTCAATTTCATTTGGACCCACACGGCCTGGCCTTGTGCCCAGCTCTGCACCCTCCCTGGCTGGGGGCCGGGGCCGGGGCCGGGCCGGTTTGCTCACTGCCTGTCACTGAGAGCCAGCAGTGGAGCGCCGACACCGTGCAGGGATGGGCGGGCCTGACGCCCCCGCGTGTGTGCCTCCTTGCCTAGAGTGCGTGAAGGGCCCCAACGTCGCCACCATCGTGGGGGGCACCGTGGCGGGCGTCGTGCTCGTCGGCCTCCTCCTCCTGGGCATCTGGAAGGTCCTGACCCACCTGAGTGACCTCAGGGAGTACAAGCGCTTCGAGAAGGAGAAGCTGAAGTCCCAGTGGAATAACGTGAGTGGCCCTGGGGCCCCGCAAAGGCGCGCCTCCCACCTGTGCGCCGAGGGCACGCCCACGGGAGCGCGAGCCGCCTCACCCCACCCTCGCAGCTCATCCCCCCCGCGCTGACAAGTCACGCTTGCTTTCTCACCAGGACAACCCCCTTTTCAAGAGCGCCACCACGACAGTCATGAACCCTAAGTTTGCTGAGAGTTAGGGCTGCTTGGTGAAGACGGGGCCTCCTGCGCCGCCCAGGTGGGAGCGCCCCACGCCGCGTCCCCTCCCGCAGGCCGCCCGTGACCCCGTCGCCTGGTGGACTCGGCTGACGGCACTTGACAACTTCACCACTAACGGAAAGTCCACCGTTTTTCCTGCCCCCAGAATGACAGACGCGGCCAGATAATTCTAGGGACGCATCAGAAGGGCCAGCCTCCCCCTTCTGACATGAGTGACTCTTGATAGCAACTTGAAGAAGGAATTGCTCGCGTCCCGTAAGGTTAGACATGTGTTGTCCTTTGTAAAAATTAGCACAGCAGTCTGATGAAAGGTGGTACAGATTTATTTATATGTGAACTTCTCAGAGTGTAAAATTACATCCCGTTGATCATGCTGCCCCCAATCACGTGTACAGAAAAAATTAATAACCCTTCCGCAGGGGCTTCCCTGGGAGCCGCGCTCTGTGCCCCACCTCCACTGCTCTTCACACACTCCTAGGGTCCGTGTAGACTTTGGGCCGTGGCTCAGGGCTCTCTTTTCCTCCTTCCTCACCTGTTGGCCGTGCAAGCCGCTCTCTGTCCCTGTCCCGGCCCCACCTCCTAGGCAGCTTTCAGAAGACAGGGGACGGCCCCAGCAAAGGGGTCCCCCTGCAGAGCTTGAACGGGGCCGAGGCAAGATGGGAAAGTGGGCGTCTGTCACGCTCTCGGCTGTCTACACCCGCTCTTGGGTGATGAGTGGAAGAGAGTTTAAATAAGTGTGTTTCTCACGGGCTGTTTCCTGGGGTGACCTGGAGGTCAAGGTGATCAGGTGTGATGGTAGTAGGTGGCAGGTCCCAGCGTGATCACCTAGCCGTGTGCGTGTCTGCCAACCTCTGCAGGCTCCGTGCGGGTCAGGGTCCGGGTGTGGCCCGTGAGGGTCCGTCAGGGTGGGGCGGTCCTGGGTCCCCAATGAAAGGGCTCTCTTCCGGTGTGTTAACATCCTCTGCAGCCCTGCCGATGCTGCTCTTTCCTCACGTTACACAGACCTGAGAGGCGCAGACAGATGTGAGCACGGGGTGCATATCTGTAAATATTCATTCACGTGCATAGACATAGTTTCAGATGCTATTTCCCCTTATTTTTTTCCGTAAAATGTATAACTTTTTATTAAAACCCCAGCATAACTCTTTATTAAAAACACATCAGTTCAGGGCCTTCCCTGGCGGCTCAGTGGTTAAGAGCCTGCACTTGCACTTCCAGAGCACTGCCTATGCCCGTCTCTGTGCAGAGAACAGTGCGCAGAAGCAGGGACCCTCGCTGCCCTCCTGGAGGTACACAGAGGGTAGCCTCACAGCCAGTGTAAAATGGTAAACGACGCCCACTGAGACGGAAAAGCACGTGGTCCAGGACTGAGAGCGAGGTTTAAAAAAATAAAAGTGACCATCTCCCCCTCTACACTCCCGCAGCTGAGAACTTTCACTGCTGCTTGGTCCCCCGCAGGGGGGAAGCTCTGCCTTCCCTGCTCGAGCCCACTCACTGCTGCTTGGATGCCAGCACCCTGTCCTGTCTCGTCCTGTGTCGCCTCATCCCACCTAAGGCCTCTTACGCCTCTCCATCCACACACCAAGTGAGGAGCGTGGCTAAGGCCCACGGGCGCTCCCGCCTGTTGCCCATCACTCTAGCACCCCTGGCATCCGTCCTTCCTGCCTGTCCATAAACAAGCGGGTTTAAAACAGAATAACCAACGGTTAACCTTCTACCACCTTAGTGGTGCTGCATCCTTCCACACCTAGGCGAAGAATCAGGCTCTATTTTTCCAAAACGTTAAAACCCGATTGAACAAAATGGAATCACTTGCAGACAACGTTGGGCTGCAGGTCATCCAGTCTCCCCACCTGGTAAATGTGGATGGCTGTGCACGTTCCTAGCCTTGACCCTTCCCTCCATGACCCCCGGAAGGCGAGCCCCTCCTCACACGTGGTCTGCAAGCCGCAGGTCCCCACTCCGGTCCCAAGCCCTTGCAGACGCGCCCCCCCCCCGCCATGTCGCACAGGCACGTCCAATGGAGTCTCGTACTCTCCCCCAAACGGCTCCTTCCTCTGGGGTCCCCTGTGTGCAGTCCCCGTGCCCTTCCTGTGCATCCGCGTCCACAGACACTTAATGACCATATTTCCTCTGTTACAACTGGGGTGCAATTCCCTCCTGATGCCCCTTGGTCCCCAAAACTCCAGCTAGACGAGTGCCCTTCTTCCTCCGGCAGCACAAGCCCGTGGACCAGAGAAAATGTCCTGAGCCGCACCCTCCAGCTTTGGCGATGTCCTCATTCACCTTCTGGTATATATATATTTTTTTTTTGCGGTACGCGGGCCTCTCACTGTTGTGGCCTCCCCCGTCGCGGAGCACAGCCTCCGGACGCGCAGGCTCAGTGGTCATGGCTCACGGGCCCAGCCGCTCCGCGGCATGTGGGATCTTCCCGGACCAGGGCACGAACCCGCGTCCCCTGCATCGGCAGGCGGACTCTCAACCACTGCGCCACCAGGGAGGCCCTGGAATATCCCATTTTTTGTGGGTGGGAGGGGCACGCCTGTGGCTTGCAGGATCTTAGTTCCCCAAACAGGGATTAGCCCGTGGAAGCGCGGAGTCCTAACCACTGGACCGCCAGGGAATTCCCAAGGGATGTCATGGTTTTAACCCTCAAAGTCCCTTAGCCCGGGAAACCCTGAAGTCTGGGCAAATCTGGACAGTGGGCCATCTCTGGTACGTATGTTTTTCCCACACAAACAAGCAATTAACTCAGTTCTCTGAGGACACTGGCCAGACTCCCACAGATTTAACTCCATTCTGACACCATCTGCCTGGAGATCTCACAGATTAAGGGCTCATTCCCACAAGACCACCCCCCATCCCTTGACCATCCCAGGTTGTCATTTGTGCTTCTGACGGACCAGCTATAGATCAGAGATTCGGTTCATTTGCAAGAGGGGTTCGCAGAACTGGAAAACAGTTTACTCACTAGATTACCAGTTTAGTTTTGTAATAAATGAAGAGCTAGATGAAGAGGTGCACAGGGCAGGGGATGGGGAAGGGGCACAGGGCCCCCAAGCCCTCTGAGCCCACTCTCCCCCCCCACCCCGAAGCTCCCTGAACACGGTGCTTCTGGGGTTCTATGGAAGTTCCATTATACAGGCGTAGGCATGGTTGAACAAAGCACTCCAGCCCCTCTCCCCTCCCTGAAGGCAGGGGACGCAGAGGAGACTGAAAGTTCCCCGGGCAACCAGATCTCATCCACAGCTGCTTTCCAAAGGTCACCACACGAACAAACTCTGATATGCTTGAAAGGGGACTGTTACGAATAACAAAGACACTCTTGTATCACTGATTACTTGGGAAATTCCAAGGGTTTTAGGAGCTCTGTGCCTTGAACAGATGAAGACGAAATATATATTTCTTATTAATCACAGTATCACACCACCCTCTGGGCCTCCAGCAGACCTGCGAATGGGCACATCTGGAGGGCATCTGGCTTTGAGTCCGCTACTTTCATTTTAAATTCTAACTGCTGAGGGCCTTTTACTGTACGGGACCTGGGGCTCTCCACCTGGGCAGTTGAGGAGCTAGAATAGTGGGTGCCTTATTGCCCTTGCAGAGCAGCACTTCCCAGCTCAGGGTCTCAGCAGCCTGTGCCTGGGGAGCTTTCAACGACACCTCGCCCACCAAGTTCTGACTGCCTTGCTGGTGTGTGCGTGTGTGTGTCTGTCTGTCTGTCTGAGAGCACTGGCATTGCCACTTTTAAATGGACTTCAGGTGATGGCAGCTGAGGTTGAGACCCCGCTGGCCCAGAACCACATTTCTGAAGGGCTGGTTCAGACAGCAGGCTCAGCTTCACCAGGCTGGACCTGGTCCCCGACCTGCTGAATGAGAGGCTCTGGGACTTGAGTTCCACAGTTGAGTTTGCCAAGTCCTGCAGGTGATTCTGTGACACTCTATAGTTTGGAGGCCTAATCCTGGACGTAAGGGTGCCTCTGTGCATGGGGGCTGCAGGTGCTGTGGGTGCAGGGGGTGGTGCCCCTCAGGAGAAAGCTCAGAGGGCGCTCCCCTCCTGCCCCCCACCACCCCCCCACCCGTCCACCCTGCCTCTCACTGGCTGCATGACCTTGAAAGAATTAAGTTTTCTGTCTTGTCAAAGTGCAGGTGAAGGGGTCACAAGAGCCCCCTTCCCCGTCCCTGAGAGGAAGTGCGTTGAGGGTCATGACTGCCCGCGTGGGAGGGGGCAGGTGGCAGAGTTTTCTGTGTCTCAGTCCAGGGCAAATCCCTGGGCTCCAAGAGGTCCAGCCTGGCAGGGACCAGGGAGCCCTTCCCAATTGCAGCCCCCCTTGGAGCCATCCTCATACCCTGGGTGCACGCACGGTGCATGCATCTCTTAACCCAACCACAGAAAATGGGCTCTGGCCTGTCGGCACAGTCCTCTGCTTCTGTCCATCCCTCCCGCTGCCCCAGAGCCCCGCTGCCCCTCCCCGGCCTGAGAGCACCCACAGACCTTTCCAGATCCCTCCGAGGCACCTCCAAACTCTGAGGCCCTCAAGTGCACCCTTTGTCCTCAGCTGAGCTGCAAATGAGCTCTCCGCAGTGTTAATGATCACGGTGGTTGAAATGTGACCGGCCCAGGTAGACGCTTCGATCTGTTTACACAGCCTTTCTGGAAGTAATTCTTTAACTTACTAAAGAATGTACTAACAATGATGAAAAAATCAGATGGCACACTCAACCACCAAATAAAAACAACTCAGGTGAAAGGCCCAAATTGTGTGATTCCCATATGCACGGTCCAGGGGCGGGGGCGCTGGAATTCCAGAACCAGCTGGGCTCAGGCCTCAGCCCACCGTGGCCCGTCTACCCCCGGACATCCCTGTCCATGGTGCTGCCGTTGGGCACTCCTCCTAAGTTAACACCACGAACTGTATCAAATCTCATCCCTTAACCACTGTTCTGGAAAGACCATACATTCTTTTTTAATTCCAGATTGCAAACAGAATATTCATATGTTTCTCTGGAAAGTCACTGTATTTCGTATTTCTCATCCTGTGTGGTTTTGGGTCTTTCCTATCAGCTTGAAGCTCTTTGACAATCGAATGTGTCAAGTTAAATAATGCTGTCCCGTCCGCCCCCTTTTCAAACAGGGACTTGGGCTCTAGTTACTGAGTTGTGTTTTTTTGTTTTTGTTTTTGTGTGTGTGTGTGTGTGTTTTTGCGGTACGCGGGCCTCTCACTGTTGTGGCCTCTCCCGTTGCGGAGCACAGGCTCCGGACGCGCAGGCTCAGCGGCCATGGCTTACGGGCCCAGCAGCTCCGCGGCACGTGGGATCTTCCCGGACCGGGGCACGAACCCGCGTCCCCTGCATCGGCAGGCGGACTCTCAACCGCTGCGCC